CTTATCAAAGAGTAAAATACAACACAGACACAAACAATAAAAGACTTTCCATGAAAGAGCAATGATCTCTAACAGACCGCAAAATATAGAATATACAGTACTGTGAAAAAGTCAGAGACCACCCTTCATTTATTTAACTTCCAGTCAAAACAGCAATTAAGTTTTTTCAATTTTCAGATGTTTCTGATGTTTCTGAGGAGATTAAATATACAGTAACTTCCACCTTCTTTACTTTTTGCATAAAGAAGAAGGAAGTTAAAGGAAAAATAAGTGGAAAAAGGGCAGTTTCCAAAACTGGAGGTCAAAAAATGATTTTAAAAAATTGTCAGAAAAAGCAGCACCAAATCTTTCGTCTTTGAGAGAGAGGAGAAAATCAAGCTGCTTCAGATCTGAAAAAAATCCACAGCTGTTTCTGTCTGTCCTTCCACTGGGAGAAGCACTATGAGTCTGAAAGGATGTCAAGAAGCCCTTACTGAGAAAAAATAGACAAAAATTCCAACCACAGACCACCTCAGAGGCCAGACCACAACATTATTGAATGTGTTTGGATCATGCGATGCAGAAAATGCAACTTGTAAGACTTTGGAGGTGTTAAAAATATCCCTGCAGATTTCTTTGAAGAACTGAAAGCAAGTCGCCTGAAAAGAATGGAAGCCGTAATAAAGGCAAAGAATTAACACACTAAATACTGAAAAAAGAGATATTGCATTGAGTTGTTTAGGCTTCTGTGCAATTTTGTGTTAAATAAATGGTTTATGCTTTTTTCTTAATGCTGAAGAATGAAAAGCTTGTAATTAAAGGCAGTTTTGACTGAAAACTAAATAAAGGAAGAGTGGTCTCTGACTTCAGCACAGCACTGTAGGAATAAACTGAAACATGTTTAGGGATTATGTAGTATTTGGCAAAAGCAGGCGGTTTTAATTGGGGGTGAATCAACATGGACACTTGTGTCCAATACCAATTTTAAAGGGATTAAAATTCCATTAACTGTTGACATGTTGAGCTGCCCAGTGGCACGGCTATATAAGGTTTGGCCTTATCATCAGGAGATAACAAGTTTGTAAAAGTTATCAATATATTCACAGATACCCTGATAGCCCATTTTGCCCCCGAAAACCTTCCTTGCACCATTTTCACATGAATAAAACATGATACATAAACACAATTGCAGCCAAACGTAAGTAAACTATAAGAAAAACCTGTAATAAATGTATTCATTTAATTCAAATCAATACACATTTTTCAGTGAGATGTCAGAGATATTGAGGAAGGGACTAAATGATCTTGTAATAATCCCTGTGTGAGGTAAATGTGGAGCTGTAATGAAGTATGCAGCCATTCTGCTATGAAAGGCTCTTTTTGGTTGCCTCCAGCTTCAGCTTGTATGTATGCGTTTAATGCATTCACGTGTTCGTTTTTTTTTCCTCAAGTCTTGGACACGCACACGAGCGCATGTCTTAAATGCAGAAAGAAAGCATTGCCCCGGGACATTATGGGCCAGAAGCTGCGTTGGAGTGCACTTAATTCTCCAGCAGGCCAAGCTGAATGAGCGAGCGCACATGCTGCCAGGATAATGGACTCCAAAGTAGGGTCCTTACAGCCGGGGGCAGCCAGCAGGCCTGCGCAGCCACACGGATTGAGCAGAGCCTGTAGAAGGAAAGGACAGTAATGTGGCTCTGCTGGAGTTCGTGTGGCCCCGCTGAGAGGTTGCGTAGACGCCTAGCTGCTGACTCACCTTGTGTTTCTGGAGCATGGTGCATCACTGTGTTGTCAGAATTACGCTGCAAAGGCATCTGGCCCAGTGGGACCTGCCCTCTCCTCAGTATGCCTCCATTGTGGGAATTAAAGAGCACATCTGCTGCATTTTCATTACATTTCATTGTTTTTCCAGAGGTTCAGTTTTGATGTTATGTACCATAACGAGTCTTAATTATTTTTTACATTACCATTTTTCAGCCTCTGTCTTTTACATAGATTTAATCAGGTTGTTTTTGCCTTCAAGATTCATACATATACAGTAATATGCAGAAGTGTGGTGCCCCTGTTTAAATGACATGCTTTGTTGATTTTCTATGTGAAAATAAATGAACATGTCCTCTACAAAGAACACACTTCTGCACATTGTGATGCACAATAACTGTTTATTTGCTGAATTTAACATTAGAAAAAAAAAGTGGCCTGTGCAAAAGTTATGGTATATTTTATATTTTACAGTTTATTTTTTCCAGCCTCTTCAACTGTTCACATAAGTAAAAATTGTGTTCTAAAATTTCTACTTACGTTTGTTCCGTGTAGACACAACTTCATTTGACCAGGGGCACCAAAACTTTTTATATGCTGTAAATGTAAATGACGTCTGATTGTTGTAACCCTTTCAAAAAGCAGTCTGAGCTGAAATACTCATCGTGTCCAGCGTGAATGAGCAGGGCTAAACTGCTATAGGCTGAATTAGTCATGTACGAAAATGCTCTGGTTTTTGTGACATTGCGAAAACATTTCAAAACAGGTCTTTTTTGGAGCTTAGTTATCATACAGACTGGAGAGAACAGTACCTTGTGAGACTGTAAATACGTTTACATACTACATTAAACTTTTTTTTCTTTCAGAAAACCAAGAAAAATTTGATTTTCCATTATCCATCATGCAAAGAACCCGGTCCTGTGATGATCTTACCTATTGTGCAAGGAGACTGCAACTTTAGTTCTCTGTGGGATCCGGCCTGAGGCGGCCCTTCCCGCTGAGGTCCTATTAGAATATAATGCGAAAGTTGAATGGCGTAAAGCACTCATACAGAGACCTGTGGTGTTGGATCTGTCTGCTCACCAATGAGTGTGATGTCATAACAACCATGTGTGTGAGATGAAGAGAGTCATCTGAAGTGTGACGTGGTTAAAAATGCTAAAAGCTAAATGATATTGTGTCTTTTTGAACTTATGCTGAGGATCAGTAGAACACCACCTAGGGGCACAATGTTGAAAATAGGGTGATCTTGAGAACCTCCTGGGAGCTGTTTTTCAGTTTACTATTAAAACAATAGTTTTCCAAAAAACATTAGATGAAAATTTCCTTCTTACTCTAAATGCAGTTGATTAGCCAAGACATGTTGGTGTCTGAAGTTGGCTTCTTACGTGCCTCAAACAACATTGAGGCCGATTCACACCAAGTCAGACTATTATGGACAGAAAAAGCTCATTTGAAACTTGACAACCTGCGATACTTGGCAGAACAGCTCATTTTATTTGTTGCAGAGAACAAAAGCGTATACAGCAAGCAACATGCTGACTATTAAAATGCAAAGGTCAAAGAAAACTTATGGCGAACCTTAGCTAAAAGGCTGGGGCATGACAGTGAGTACCTAGTATGACTGTTTATAGACACTTTTTGTTAGTTTATCTAAGTGTATCCTAGTCAGTTTATGACCAGGTAGGACTATTAGCGCTTAATGTAACACAGTGGTCACCAACTTGGGTCCTGGAGATCTACTTTCCTGAATAGAGAAGAGTCCAGTTCCAACCACAATCTGCCACACCTGCTCCAGCTAATTAACCTGCTCAGAAGTCCCTGATTAGATGCAGGTTGAAACTAAACCCTACAGGTCTATAGGAGGAAAGTTGGTGACCACTGAAGTAATGATAGTGTCTTGATGTTTTTTTGTAGTTAATGACATTAAAAACATGATAAAATCTCACATTCTCTGAGTGTTTAAAAAATGCATCAGACTTATGTGATTCTTACAGGCCATCCAACCTGAAGGTTCAGAGTTCAAGTCTCACGTCAGGGTGGTGGATTCAGTGCCTGGGTTTGCTTAATTGCCACTGTTGGGCTCTTGAGCAAGGCACTCATTCCTCTCTGCTTCAGAGGGGGCCTTATTGTGCAAAAGTCAGAGACCAGATTTAATTTTCAGTCAAAATGGCCATTACGAACAAGAAGAAGTTAGAGATCTTTCTGAGGAGACTAGATATAAGACAATCCACTAGCATAAAGAAGGAAAAGGTAAAAGGAAAATAAGTAAAAAAAATAGGAGTTCCCTAAACGGGTGCCCTGTAAGACCACCAAAACTGACCACATCAGATAAACAGCACTTAAAGCTTTCATCTTTGAGAGAGAGGATCAGATCAAGCTGTTTCAGATCTAAAAAATCCACAGGTGTTTCTGTCCATCCTTCCACTGTGAGAAGACAACTCAGCGCTATGCGTCTAAAAGGATGTGTAGCTGTCAAGAAACTCTTACTGAGAAAAGGAAACAGACACAAAAGAAGAACATTTGCAAACAAAGAAGCTGCTGGTGTTCTCAGGACAATGGACTGACCACCCCAGAGTCCAGGCCTTAACATCACTGAACGTGTTTGGATTACTTAGATTGAGAGAAGCAGAAAATGCAACCAACTTTGAGGACTGAACTTTGGAGGTATGTAAAATATCCCTGGAGATTTCTTCAAAAAGCTGAAAGCAGGTCTACTGAAACAAATGGAAGGCAAACAGCGACACACTACTGAAAAAAATTGATTCTATTTAGTTGTTGAAGCAAATTTTAAAGTATGTTTTCTGAAATAAATGAATGCTGGTCTCAGACTTTTGCACAGTACTGTATGCCTGGCCTCCATATGAACCCTCCCTCCATCTCTTACTGTAAGAAACACATCTCTGAATCTTCTGGGCTATCAGGAGGACATCTCAAGCTGGAGCCTGTGTGAGTGTGTGTGAAGGGAGGCAGCAGAAAGCAGAAGCAGTGGGAGGGTGTGTGTGTGTGTGTGTGCTCTCGCTCGCCTCGGTGCGGCTCCACTGCTGCAGTCAGGACATCAATTTTGTATAGACACTGAGCGGAGTGCTCGCTAGCATCAGGCCCTGCTTTCTTCCTGCAATCTCTCTATTCCCCTCCACTCCGCTCCGCACTGCTCCGTCCGCCAGCCTGCTGCTGCTGCTGCTGCTAACGATGCTCCTGCTGGCCATGGAGAGCAGCTCCATCAGGCTCTGAGCCATGGGGCTGAGTTTAGAAGCAGCATGTCTGCATCTGACTCCAGTGCAGCGCTTCTCAGCGGCAAGGTAGGAACATCTCTCTCTCTCTCTCTCTCTCTCTCTCTTTCTGTATCTTATTGTCACTCACATATGCATACAGTCTATCATTCTCTCTCTCTCACTCACTCTCTTAATTTCTTCCTCTCTCTCTCCAGCTCTCTGCCTATGACTCTCTCCCTCATCTTTCAGTCTTACACACAATCTACCATTCCCGCTCTCTCTCTCTCCTAGCTCTGTCTATGACTCTCTCTCTCTCTTTCTAGCTATCCGTCTCTTTCTTTCACCCTCTCTCTCTCATTCTGTCTACATCATTCTGTCTTACTCACAATCACTCTTTTTTCTGCCCCCCTTTCTCATGCTGACTATCTGTCTCTCACTTAGTCTGTCTGTCTCTCTCACGCTCTGCCTTCCTGCCTGTATATTACTGTCTTACATGCACACTATCATTCTCTCTCTCTCTCTCTCTCTCTCTCTCTCTCTCTCTCTCTTTCTCTTTCTCTCTGCTATTGTCTAATCCATCATTTTCAGAGGTTCCATGCTGCAGAGAATGAATGTTTGCCTGCATTAGGCGCTATATAATAACTAATGTAAGTCTTATTTTCCCAAGTTATGACAGCTCCAAATTTATGCATAACAGAGTCTTATATAAGACAATGCTTGAGCGTCAGAGCCATGCGGTTACATCTGATTCATGGCTGGCCCATTGACTGTAGACATTTGGCTTCGTTGAGAGTTTTCCTCCACCATGTTCTCTCTGTTCTGTCCTAATTAGATTCCATTTTTTCTAGTGGTTAAAAGGCATTTTACCATCTCACTACTTTGGGTTACAGGTTGTTTATTCTCAGCTTCATGTAAAACAAGGCAGCAGTGCTGTAGAGCTTAAAGGCACATAGTACCACTTTTTAAAAAGGCATAATTCAGCCATTAAGGTGTAAACAAAGTCACTCAGAGAGGTTTCATGTGAAATGGTTTGTTGCAGAGAAACTTATTAATTCTGATTTCTGTACAGATTTCTGTACAGTTGTATGCAAAAGTTTGCACGCCCCTGGTGTTATGTGTTGTTAATTTTCTAAGGGAAAATGAGTTAACACATTAACACACCCTCTACTGAGAACACACTTCACAGATCTGCACACTTACTGTTTATCGACTGAATTTTAACATATTAGAAAAAAAAACAATCCTGTGTAAAAATGATGCCACATTTTATATTTCATGTCTTGTTTCTGTTTTCTGAACGGTATTGCAATTTCAATTTAAATTATGATTGTTTTCGATAAATTGCATTTATTTGTATAAATTGTTTTTTCCGTAAACTGAGGTATGGGCTTGGGGCTCAAATGCTTAACACAGTGTGCCAGCCTGCCAGTGGTTGTGATGCCACAGTTTGGTTGCTTCTGATTAGTCGAATTCATCCAAAAGCAGTTCACAAGCTCAGTGTAATTGGGTTAAAACTTGCAACATATCCATGTTGACTATAATAAAAATTGAAGCTCTTGCGATTTCAAAATTGTTCTTTTTCAAAATGTGACTTTGATATTTTTTTATGTAATGTTGATCATGGCAAAATAGTGGAAAAATAGTTTTCTTTGGGAATTATTTTGTATTACAGTGCCCTGCATGTAGCTCTCTGCCGTGAATGGATTTTCAAACGTAAAAAATGTCCCAAGCATCAGGCAGAGTAATCATAGCCATTTCATTCAATAGCTTTCTGTGAGCTTTTAGAGGCATTACATGGTGGTGCTCACCACCACTGTGAGCAACTCTGACTCTGTAAGTTTCTCCAGAGCAGATAAACTCACATCAAATCAGTCTGAATGACTGTTCAATTTTTGCTCAAGCTTAACGATTGAATTATGTGAAATTAATATGAAATTTTGAAAAATTGGGGGATTTCCCCTTTAAGACCCTCTGTGATTATAGCATGGATGAATTTTCTATCAAACTGTTTTTATTTTTATCTATACCAGCGTACATGGCAATTCAATAGTCCATCCCAGTTAGTTTGTTTTAATATATGTTGTTTATCCTGTATGTTAAGAGGATAAAGGCACTGTTAGTACCAATCATTTCAGAAGAAGTGTTGGATAAGCAGATATCTACAAACTTCTGGACATACATTGTCGAGGTGGGCGATATAACAGAGATATAATAAAATGGAACTTGACACTGAAAAGATTAATTAAAAAGTTTTTTGTAGGTACTGTGCTGCTTTAAATCCAATTAATTGGGCCTAATTTTTATATTATAATAATATATATTATGCTCACTTAGTAATGAAACATGCAGTAGTTATAAGTGCTGACAATATGCACAGTATACTCAGAAAGCACATGATTTATCACAATAACAGTGTCATATCATATTGCCCACTCCTCAGGTTGTGTATATCCACGTAATCTTGAGGCATATTATTTAGTAACAGTGTAAAATGTTGATTTATTGCAATGCAAATGGAAAACAATGCAAAGCTGATTAGTGCTGTCACTAATGATAATGCAGGAGGAGAAATTCCATATGCGTTATCATCATGCAAATGTGCAACTAATCTCTGCTGATTTGTTGAGAAGGAAAAACTTTCAGCAGTGTTTTTTTTGAGTAATGGAGTTATTGATATATAACTGATATATCATGATAGCTTCAAATATAATTATACTCCTATGTCCACATTGTAATCCTTATTATTCAGTAATAACAAAGAAAAGAGCACAAATAAATAATACTTGATGTTATTATTAAGTTATAAGAGGAAGTAATGAAGGGCTTGAATATTTGAAGACTGCAGATGCAATTTTTCTCTCATTTTACCCAGCTATGAGAAAGTAATGACGTGTGAATGTATAAATGGTGTATACTGATGTAGCTCTGAACACATCTGTGTAGGCTGATCCTCTTTCTGCTGTCCTCTCATTATGAGCATGAAGCCTCCGACTGTCATCTCCTCGTAGTATATACAAGCTGAGCAGCATGTGGCCGTGGCTCTGGGAATCAGATTCTGAGCGTCTGAATGAAAATAGGGCATGAAAGTGTTTGAAGTGCTGATGAATGAATGTTTGTGTTATCTAACAAGCTGTGTACAAACGGAGAGGCTGGGCTGTTTGTGTGTGCGGCTCCCTCTGCTGGTTGTATTGTAATTGTGGCTTCTGGGTGCGTTGGACTTGAAGGTTTGTTATAGTGTCCATTGGCTCACTGCGCTTCCAAAGAGCAATTTCAATCAGAGAGAGAAAGAGAGAACAAGAGAATGAAAGCATGATCTTCATCTGATGAAGGGTTCATTTATGCCTAGCCTTCATGTTATTCTCTTAACTGTGGGTGTAAAAATGCATCAATGCATCTGAAAGTGATGTGATCTTAATGGATCGATTCAACTCAGATTGATATTTTGGAAAGCTACAGTCAGTTATAATAGTACTGAATACATTATTCACTTGTACGTTAAAATTTGAAAATTGAAACATTGGTGTGATATGCTTTAGGGCAGTTACCTTCTGATGATGCATCTTGAAGGTGAAAGGAACTTTGGAAAAACTACAAGCACTTTAGGGTGGATACTTTGCTAGCTGGGGAATGCAGAAGAAAGCTAGACAGCTAATGTTACTGTTATCTGTGTACAGGCAAAATAAACACAGACTGATGCTGTGTTTATTTCTCCTGTACACCTTCTCTACCTAATAAGCGACATAAGCAGTTGCTTATGGATTAAGTCCGAGGGGGAAAAAAAGCAATGGTTTAATCATGTTTTAAAAAAAGGAGGTGTGCATCTGAAGCCAAAAGACGGAAAGGAAAAGGGAAGATGGTGAGAAAAGCTTAAAGATATGTTGTGTTTTTGTGCTGTTAATGTTGTGCCATTGTTCAGCTTGCTTTCTAACTGATTTTCAACTTTATAAAATCTAACAAACACAGACGCAGTTAACTCGTTTTACAACAGCAGTTAACAACTTTCTGTGTTAATCTAGATTTAGCTACTCAGGCTGTGATTAATCCTCATGCGTGGGCACATGATAGCATTTATGACTAACAGCCAATCACATGAATCATAAGGAAGGGATGTCAGAGAAGGAAAACGAAATCATATTACAATCATATTACAATTATCCGTAATTTAAACTATAACATATTAGAAGCCCAACAAGCATCCAGTCATCAGCAATACACAACTAGCTAGTCATAAATGTATGTAATTCAGGCAGCTTGAGGTAGTCTTTGATATTAGTTAGCCTTTTACAGTACATCAGCTAGAAGGGACCACAAAGGGTTACCTTTAATGCCACAGGGAGATTTCTAATGGTTGTAGGATGCATATGCATGTTGCATGCTGGGTATTGTATTGAGGGAACAATGATGGACAACAGCACAAAAAGAGTATAAAATCTTGAATTCTCTGCATTGTTTGTACCCTGGTGAACAAAAATATACGTATACCGTGCACTTTTTTTCTGACAGCGTAATAGCTTGGCTTCTTTTTCACATGAGACAATATGTGTTTTGTTTAAATCTGAACACATCACTTTTTATGTGCAGTAAAACAAAAGGGAAAAACAAATCAGAACCAGACCAAATTATTGATGTTAATTGTCTAAAGTATATGGGCAAAATTATATCGGACTAAATTATCCAGATCCCAGCTTTAATCCGTTTCCCTCGTTCAGGTCAAAATGATGAAAAGACGTGACCAAGAGTTTTCATGAATGTGCAAAAGTTAAAAAAAGACAGTCATGCACAAAAGTTTGAATACCTGTTCTATGGTCAGATGAAAACAACATAGAGGTTTTTTGGCAGCAAACACCAGAGGTTAGTTTGGCATGGACACAAAAATAGCCACGCAGAAAAGTACCTCATTCCCACTGTGACGTATGGTTTGGTGGTGGATCTGTCATGTCGTGGGGCTGTTTTTCTTCCGAAGGCCCTGGACAATTTATTTGATATCAAATAAGTATCAAAGACTCCATCAAGTACCAGCAAAAATAAAATCAAAAATCAAAACCTGACTGCCTCAGCCAGCAAGTTTGAACTGGTCTATAGTTTGG